TGTCTGGCAAGCGCACGTGCCCTATAGCAAAAAATCTCTCTCAAAATAAAAAAGACTCCTATTCGTGTCTAAGAAAAAATAATAATTGCATATGTTTATTCTGGAATGCATGCACAAGTGTGTGGCATGCTTTTCAAGCTGCCAGATCCAGGACTTGAACTATGGAGCTGGCCATGTGAGATCCAGCTGCCTTGACCCCCATGCTATCTCCCGGCCCAATATTTGCCTATTTTTATGAGTAGCACTCATCTTTTTTTATTTTTAAGATTTTTGCTATAAGGTGCATGTACTCACCAGAGAAGAGAGAGAAAAACAGTGAGAGGGAAAGTGAGAAATCACCCCTTGGGATGGGGGATGGCCACACCACAGTCTCTTCTCCATTCTCCTCAGATTTGGGGCACAGACATGCGCCTAGTGTGATTTTCTTTCTTTCTTTTTAAAGAAGAATTATTTTATTGGGACCAGAAGTTAGTGTAATGGCAATGTTGCTGGACTCCCATGTCCCAGACCCGGTGGCTTAGAACTCACACTGGGCGCATGTGTGTGTGTGCCCAAAATCCCGAGAGGAGAATGGAGGAGAAGGGATTGCAGCGTGGCCATACCCCCTGGGGGGTGATTTTTCGCTTTCTATCTCTCTGTCTCTCTCTGTCTGGCGAGTGCACGTGTCCTATAGCAAAAACCTCTAAAAAAAAAAGAATTATTTTATTTAACTTTATTTATTTATTTATTTAAGTTTGACTAGAGAGGGACAGAACAAGAGAGAGAGAGAGAGAGAGTGAGAAAGTAAACTGTCAGGTCCAGGAATTGAACCACAGTTGGCCATGTGGAAGTCCAGCATCCTTAACCACCATGCCACCTGCTGGCCCCAAGGTAAATGATTTTTATTATTTTTTAAAAAAATTGTTTAGAGTGTGCTTTCTTTCCTTTTTTTTGGAGAGGTTTTTGCTATAGGGCGTGTGTGCTCACCAGAAAGACAGGCAGAGAGACAGAAAGTGAGAAATCACCCCCAGGGGAAATGGCCACGCCTCAATCTCTTTTCCTCCATTCTCCTCTCCGGATCTTGGGCATATATGTACATGCGCCCGGCGTGATTTAAGCCACCGGGTCTGGTACTCGAACCATAGTCGACTACATGGGAGTCCAGCAACATAGCCATCACGCCAACTGCTGGTCCCTAGAGTGTGCTTTCTAAACAGATAACCATTTTGGAGACCTTGAAATCTCTGAACGTCATTTCTATTTCTGCAAAACTTTTAAAAGTATATGAATCACAACATTCCAAACTCTTTTCAAAAGAAAATCATTCTTTACTTTCAACAGAAGTGATCTCTGGTATTTAAATTATAGTTTTACACAATTTTTCTGTCCATTCAGTGTCCACTACTTGAATAGAATGCTTGATTTTAAATACTAATAGTTCTTCCTGACTGGCCTGTGCAACCTAAGTTTACACTGAGGGCAATATTTGATCATTTCTGGCTATTCGAAAATTAAAGTTCATTCGTTAAATTTTAATGTAATGAAGATTTTGTTTTTCCTGTTTGTTTTTTTTAACCTCATTTTATTCAATTGAGGTGAAGTGGTCATGGCATAAAATGAACTATTTTAATATGAATCACCCAGTGGCATTTGGTATATTTATGATAGTGGGCAATTATCATCTCTATCTAGTTCGAAACACTTTCATCTTCCTCAAAGGAAACTCAATATATGTTAAGCAATTGCTTCCCATTTTCCTGTAACCTCTCCATCCCAGAAACCAGCAATCAATGTTCTGTTAATATCTATTTACCTATGCTGGATATTTTATGTGAATTGAACAATACTGGGTGGTTGGAAAAATCATGGCTTATTTTTCTATGTTTTTCTATGCAAAAAATGTGTTATGGCTTTTCTGATGACTCAATAATTGACCTTTTGTGTCTGGCTTTTTTCACTTACTGTAATGTTCTTTTGTTTTTAAATAATTATTTAACTTTATTCATTTTTATTTATTTTAATTTGACCAGAGAGGGACAGAGTAAGAGAGAAAGAGAAAGCTGTCAGGTCGGGGACTTGAACCGTGATTGGTCATGTGGGAGTCCAGCATCCTTAACTGCTATGCCACCTGCCGGTCCCTGTAATGTTCTTTTATTATTATTATTTTAAAAATTTTATTTATTATTATTATAATCTTGTTTATATTACATTGACTCACATATATCTTTACAGTGTATTACATTTCTTTTTCCAGGACTACCTTGCATATCAGTCAAAACAAAGACATTAATATCCACATCATCATCATCAAATAGCTTTTCATCATTTTTTCCCAGATTATTATTATTATTCTCATTATTTTTTAAAACACTCAATCACTATATATAATTTTGCTTCTAAAAAGAATTCATCCAACATGAAATACTTCTTAGATCAGTCCAACTGAGAATACTAGACATGTTATCACCAGATAGTAAACCATTTCTGTGTCCCACTAATGCCATGCCCCTCTATTTGTTCTCTTACTATTCTTCTCTATACTCTTCCCTTCTCCTGCCCCGTTCCACACTGTCTTCAGCATCCCTATTTTCATTGCTTTTATGCTCTCCAATATTTCGATCTCTACCACAAAGTGCGGATAGTCGGTATATATTAAGTGGATACATACAATATCTTTCTTTCATATCCTGGCTTGCTTCACTCTCAGCAATAAATCCTCCATATCCAACCACTTTGTATCAAATGCCAGGATCTTGTTTGTTTTTATTTTTTATTTTTTTATGGCTAAGTAGTATTCCATAGAGTATATGTGCCACACTTTTTCAATTCATTCATCTGTTTGTGGACATTTGGGTTGGTTCCAAGTCTTAGCAATCGTGAATAATGCTGCAATAAACACTGATGTGCAGGTGCTTTTCTGACTGAACATTCTCCTGTTCTTTGGATAGTTACCCAGAAGTGGGATTGCTGGATCAAATGGTAATTTTATTTGTACATCTTTGAGGAACCTCCATATTGTTCTCCACAGTGGCTGAACCAATTACATTCCCACCAACAGTGTAGGATTAGGAGAGTTGCCCTTTCCGTAATATTCTTTTTTAAAGTTGATTTATTTCAGTCTTCTAGGAGCAACAGAGAAAAGAAAGCAACCACCCTTCAAAGGTTCTTTCTTTTTGTTTTAGTTTTGCCATAGGGCACGTGCGCTCGTGGGAAAGAGAGAGAGATAGGGAAAGTAAGAAATCACCCCTCCCAAGAGGGATGGTCACCCTGCAATCCTTTCTCTTCCATTTTCCTCTCAGAATTTTGAACACACATGCACATGTAACTGGCATGATTTTCACGGGTCTGCATGCAGCATGTGTGTTCAGAGAGATCTCCAGACATGAACCTGAAAGCTTCCCATGTGGCTCAGCATTTTTTTTATTAATAATTAATTAATTAATTTAGTTACAGTCATTCGCTGTACATCAATACAGTATACAAAATGAGATTTTCTATCCAGTATACATTGAATATTGGCTCATTCAAAGATAATTACCATATATGTTATCATCAACAAATAATTTTCTATTTCGTGTTTCATATATATTTTGCTTTTTGTTTTTCCCCCTTGATTCCCTACCTCTCACCCTCTGCCAACCCTTCCCCTCCTCCCACCCTGTCTCTGGTATGTACAGTTGTTTTTATACCTTTTTTTTTTCACATTCTATTAATTCACTAAAGATCTTAATTAATTTAAAGA